TGTGTGGCACCTAACTCAATGACTAGTATCTCTAGAGAAGAGAACAGAAACTGGGGATTTGCACATAGAGAGGAAAAGACACAGCAGGTGTCCATCTGCATGCCAAGAAAAGGAGCCTCATAAAAGCTGACCCTGTTTGCCCCTTGATCTTGGACTCCGAGCTTCCTCAACCAGAGGAAAACAGGTTTCTGTGGTCTCAGCAGACAGTTCAAGATGTTCTGTCATGGCCCTAGCAGACTAATATGGAGAATTGTCATGGATACCTGAATGCCACGTTTAAGGGTTGTGCCTGTTTGTTATGAGGGTCACTGTCTGAGTCTGAAGCCCTCTCCTAGGGCCTTGCTGAGGGAAGAGCTGAGTGTTTGTTCCATCTCTGGATAGGATACCATGGCAGTACATGGGACTGTGCTTCTGGGACAACACAGCAGGATTGGCAGGCCTGGTGCAGCACTCTGAACTTGGGAACTGCCTGACTCTGGGTTTGGGCTGGGATCAGGTTCTTTTTTAATCTTTCTGGACCAGAGCTTATGGGTATTCTAGAAGAAAACTACCTGGGCCTCAGAGCTTGCCCCTAAGAAGAGTGGTACTCAGAGTCTCTCAGAACACCTTTAGGAGAAGGAAGGCCTGAGATGAAGCAAGGCTCCAGACACAGGTGTGGAGGTCCCTGCTGACCACAGCCCTGAGTGTGTCTTTGATTACTCTGAGGTGGACAGGTGCAGCTCCAGGCTTCTCTCCATGACTAATAGTTAAGCTAATCTGTTTGTTTAGCTAATCTGTTTGCTCAACTATCTGAGAGAATTCAGCCTGTTCTGATTCAGCCTGTTCTGAACCTCAGCCCAGACTTCAAAGGCTGTCTGGAAGAAATTGTTCTTTATTTCCTGCCCACTCCAACATGCAAACCATATTGAAGCCGTGTGACCCTTTTCAGACAACTCCTACAGCTATCTCCCACTGCCAGGTTCTTTCCTTTCCCATGCCAGACTGTCACCCATAGGCCTTGGGCTACTACCCCCCACAACCCCAGAATCTCAGAGAGATGACCTCTAAAAGAGCTCTCTAACTGAAATATCTGAGTCTTACTCTACTTTTTTTGTTAAAGATAAGGTCTCATTCTGAAGCTCCAGCTACCCTGGAACTCACTATGTAGGCCAGGCTGGCCATGAAATCACAGCAATCTCCCTGCCTCCATCTCCTGAATGCTGGGTTTAAAGGTGTACACTACATTTCCCAGCTCTGAGCCCTACTCTTGCTAGGGTTCTATGTGTCTGCTGAGTATCCAAAATGACAAATATCCTATGATTGCACATCTCTTGTTTCCCCATGCTTTGACATAGGAGAGCAAGGTTGACCCAGCCTTGTGATCACTTCTCCAAAGAACAATGTCCTGAATTCTTTACAATGATGCTGCATGTCAGTGGTTCTTTTTTGCCCAGGATCCTGGGCTAGAAATCTGTGGAAATGGAAGGTCTACCTAGTTATTCTTAGGAATATTCTATATGTCTTTCCTTGAGAAGGAGATGTAGCCCAGAGTCATGCTGTGGGTTTCTTCCCATTCCCTCTCGCTGACTGTACATACTTCTATGGGAAGAGTGCAAGGAACACTTGTAACTGAAGCTGTGATAGGAGATGGAGAACTGCTTGTGAGCTCTCTGAGTATGGTGGCTCCAACCAGATGGAGAGCTTGGAAGACTGGAGGTCATGCATTAGGACAGTGAGAGTCGAGTCAGGCAGGGCAAAGCCTCTCACCCTGGCACACTGAGATCCTGCTGTCTCAGACCAGGCAAAGATGCAGGCAGGAGTCATCTAAGGAGCCTTGCAAAGAAACCTTCCTGAGGAAGTTAAGTGCATTTGTTTTGGGCTTCCCTGAATTCCATTTACCAAGTGAATATGTGACAACACTATGTCAGGGATGTGGTAGACATGACCCGTGAAAAGAGTGACTCAGAATCCCTACCTAAAACTAAATTTATTACTCCAGACTTTCCTCACCTGGTCTCTGGTCTGATAACAAATGGACATGGACCATGATCTGGTTCTGCCCTTGTGTTTTGGTGACATTTTAACTGACTCATATTTCTCATGTGTAAAATAGATGCTAAACTCTATGGCTTTTAATCCTAACTCCCTTATTTTACACAGATGACAAAATACTATTATCCATGGTACCTTTACACCACCCAAGCCTCAAGGAAAGGCCAGGATGATTCTGGAAGTTGAGATAAAGAGTTGCAGAGGGCATTTTGGACAGCAAGTCTCCTCTCTGAGAGAAGGAGAGTGGTCTTCAAGTGTCACAAGACTGTCTATGGTCCAAACAAGCCTGGCTAAAGTGAATGGTTTCAAGGGCCCTTTACAGGGGTTCCCTGACTACTGGTTTATGAAACACTTTCTCAATTCTAGGTCTCAGTTTCCAGAAGGGATAGTGACTTCAGGGGGTAATTTACAAATAATTCATTAACTGTATATGTCAGAACCACACATTTATTAATATATCAACAATGTTAACATAGAATTGTGATATATGTAAGGAAATAATATTGGATGGAAAGATAGTAAGTATATTTTTTTCTCCTCAGAATTAGAGACAGAAAGATGATTTTCATTTACTTTTTAACAATTTGGGTATAGTTCTAAATTTTCTATTATTCTTATTCCTAGAAAATATTCCAAGTTGTCCATAGAAACTACAGAGGAACAAGGTTGGTTGGAGTCAAGCTTTCCATCAACATGTTTAGTGCCTGGACATCTATGACACCTTTCTGGGCTGAGACAAGGGGTCTTTTGCTGGGAGGAATGAGCTTGATGCTCTTAGCATGAATCCTCTGGTGCTTATGTCTCTGGACTCTGCTGAGTGAGACCTCTCCAAATGTGAGACCCCTGAAAAGGGTACTCAAACCAAATTGGGAATTCTCTCTTACAATGGTCTATAAAATCCAGAGGGTCAAGCCAGGCTCATGGAGCCTTCTAGTATCAGTGGGACCTGCTGGTAACTTTTGTCTCCTCCAGGCAGAGAGAAATTCAGCTTTACTTGAGAAAGCCTTCCCATTATCTCTCGATCATCATTACTGTGATCCTACAGTTCAAACCATAGAGTGTTTCAGCTCTGGGAACCTGACTCTAGACTGTAAATGTAGAGCCATACTTGAAAGGTAACAGTCAGTTGAGTCACACAGGTGTGTAATTTTCTTGTCTTGATGAAAAACCATTTCATGTCTAACACCCCTTAGTCGTCATCAGTAAGACTAGGTCAGTCATTTTTTGTGTGTTTTGTTTGTTTGTTTGTTTTCGAGGCAAGGTTTCTCTGTGGCTTTGGAGACTGTCCTGGAACTGGCTCTTGTAGACCAGGCTGGTCTTGAACTCACAGAGATCCTCCTGCCTCTGCCTCCCGAGTGCTGGGATTAAAGGCATGAGCCACCAATGCCCAGCTTAGGTCAGTCATTTCTTTTTGTTGTTGTTGTCGAATATTTTTTCCTTTTTTATTTAAATTAGAAACAAGCTTTTTTTTTTTTTTTTTTACACGTCAATCCCAATTCCCTTTCCCTCCCCTCCTCCCCTGCCCCTGACTACACCCTACCTATCCCACACCCTTTCTGCTCCCCAGGGAGGGTGAGGCCTTTCATGGGGGGAATCTCCAAAGTCTGTCATATCTTTTGGAGCAGAGGCTAGACCCTCCTGTTGTGTCTAGAAGGAGAGAGTATCCCTCTATGTGGGTTGGGCTCCCAAAGTCCATTTGTGTACTAGGGATAAATACTGAACAACTACCAGAGGCCCTATAGATTAACCAGTAGGTCAGTCATTTCTAACCCACGATACTGTGAGAGAATTCAAAGACGTAAATGGGCAACATAGTAGAGAATGTGTAAAGCTGAACAAGAAATTGTTAAATCTCCATCTCCCCATCACCCAAGTACAAGTTCCTAAGTCCTAACAACTGCCTCTGATATTGGGCACACTGTAATAGTTCTTTTTCACCTTTAGAGTCACAGAGGCACAGAGTAGGTGAGCAGGACCCTCAGGCTTCTGTCTTAACTGTGTGTTCTAGACATGGAAAAGAAAATGGGGGTTTCAACATGTGAAACCAGCATCTAGAGGGGGGGATGGTGCAAAATGAACACAAGTAAGAAAAGCTATGGGCTCACAAATTTAATTAGGTACTCTGCAGGGAAGGCAGAAAAAAGGTGGTCAGAGAGTTGTGCTCTTTTATCTCTATATTCGTGGCTTTGCTGAGAAGGTGGAAGCTGATACTAAAATGGGGGCTGCCAGGAAACCGTAACCTCCCTTGAACTCTCATTGACTTACTTTCTACACACCAATCCACACATACCTCTTTTCAGGTGTTAGTCTCTTCCACTGTCATCATTATAGTCTTTGTCTTCCTCAGAAAAAAAAGAAAAATGAATGGATTAGGGTCATGAAACCTGACATCTTTCCTTCTGTCTCTTGTTTCTTTCCCCCCAAGACTGTTCTGCCCTCTCAGAGAGAAGCTGAGCAGTCAGACCACAGATGGAGTGTTAGTCTCATCTGTGTTAGGTCCTGTTGTAATACTCTGCAAGGAACTGAGGGCCTGCTAGATGTAATGCACAGGCAAGTCAAGAAGACTGGTCTCTGAAAGGGACTGTTTAAGTCACTTACAAATACTTTGTTACTTTGGGTTTATCATATCTGAAAGGATGTCATGTAGGTGCAAAGCTAAGGTGTTTTTCATCCAGCTTTTAAAAAATCAACACAAGTAAAATAAAGAGGCAAGAGATTCTGTTTCCATATGAATCAGCATCTTCTGACTGATTTAATAAAATGACACAGGGTGTCTGGGTAGGATGAGTTCCAAGTGGTTGGAGGAATACAAACACAGACAGAATGTACCCTCTTCTTGGAACGTTATAGAGAAGATTCAGTCAGTTTGACCTTAAATTTATGATTCTTTGATTCTACTGGGATGCCTGAGGGCAGTTAATGGGAATAAATATAGCTGGAACCTCCTGTTGTCAGAAGGAGGCTCAAGTATGTCTCGCATACTTCTGCTGGGTGCATCCATAGTTCTCCTCATGGACACAGGTAAGGCCTGGAGAGAGAGGACAATGATGGGTACAGGAGGAAGAAATTACTGTACTTGGCTATGGGGTTGCTATGAGATGATTTAAGGTGAATTTTTCTTCTCTTCACAGGAGACAGAGTGCTGACATTAAACTGTATAGTATATTTGGGTTGAATTTCTTGGAAAAAAATCATACTACCACGAGAGGAGGAATGCTTTCTCTCTTCCATGCTGTCCCTGTCCACTCCATGCTTACTACTCCAGAGTCTTCTTTCTCTAGTTTTGATTTGTGGAAGGGTGGACAATTCTTGGAGGGGATCACTGATAAATCAAAGGGGGTGGGCAAGAGTGCCAAATTTCGTCTCATGGGTTTTGTATAATCTTAGCTTTATAAAGTAGTTATTTTCCATAGATCTAACCTTTAAGACCTCTGTTTCCTTTAGTGATTAGATATTGCAACTTATGTAATCACTTTGATGGAAACAGATGCCTCGGTGGCATGAGGAGATGCTGGAAGTTTAACCTGCTGCTGACCAATAGGTCTTGTACCACAGAAAACTTTTATTTTAATGACCGTATCACAGGTAAGATAGTCTTTGGGAGACACACACAAAAATGTCTTCGATAGCACCTGTAATTTCCGGAGTTAAGGTGCTGAGGGGGCCAGGATGCCACGGGTTCTAAAGACTCAGACCAGAGCATAGGTCTATTTGGTGGAAAGCACCTTATGCCTTACTGTGGCTAGAGGTAAACAGATGAGATGTAGCTACAGCTTTGGGATCACACTACTCATAGGAAAACTGACTAGGTTCTGGAGGGAGGCATGGTGATGACATTTGCTTTTCTTCTCTTTAGGGTTATATCTTTTTCGTTATTCAAGACTGTCCTGTAAACGCTGTGGACAAGGAATGTTTCAAGAATTCCATGACCTTCTGAGAGAAACATTTTGCTGTATTGAGAGGAACTACTGTAATGATGGCCTCACCACCTTAGAGACCTCATCATTATATTTTGAGGATATAAAGGAGAAGAAAGAGTTGAATGACTGACAATAAAATAAGTCTTAAATAAAATATAAATACGTTGTGTCTCTGTGGTCTTGGCATTTATAAAAACCCCATACTCCTTTCTATGCCCGTAAATATTCCCACGCAAATGCAGTATTATCAGTGTTTCTGTTTCAATTAATAAGAAAGATAAAAGTCACAGGTCACACAAACCCCAGTTCTGTCTTCTGGTCGCTGTTCTAGTTTTGGCTCCTTAGTACCTTCTGGTAGTTTGCATTCACCCTCAGCTTTTGATGCTTAACAATGTTAAAAGCACAATGCAAAGGGGGTGTTTTTTTTTTCTGATGGAGCTTCTTACAGAGGATCAAGAAAAAGGAGAGTGCATAGAAACATGGTCAAGGAATTATATTTTCAGAGGAATGGCTGGGGATAGAGATTGGGATGGAGGAATAGTTTGTGTTACTCAGAGATGGAAAGGCAATGTGAAGTTAGAGGACTTTCTGAAACTTAAGAACAAATAATATTCAGTGTATTTGATGAAGTCCTAATGCCTTCCATCATTTTTTGGGGGGAAGTAATTTGGCTAGAGCTCCCCCTGACCACTCCACTCTTGGCCATGGTATTTCTAATCATTTTATTGTGTTCTCATAGCCAAAGACAAGTATGTCAAGAAGAACAATTGGCTTAGTGTTAGCTAACTGCTCGTTTCTTAAGAGGCATATGTGAGATACCCAGTCTTCAGAATATTTAAATATTATCTTGAATTTAGTGAATCAATGCTAAGAGGTAGGTTTCATCTATCAACACAGCTTTGTAACAGAAAATGTAAGAAAGAATTTCAGGGAACTCTTGTAATTTATAAACATAGTTAATCATTTACATTAGACTGATTTGGATATGCCATATGGTACAGAGAAATGCCCACTTGTACAAGAGTTTTAAATGCTATGTAATAGCCAATCATGTTCTGTGTACATTTAAGATCTAACCTGACAGATGGTATACATACCTGGCACTATTACCTGGGCTGAGAATCCATGATTGGGTAAGTCATAATCCATAGAGGAGAATCTACTGCTGCTTATTGTTTGTACACATAATAATAAGCAGCTTTTCAAATGATTATCTTTTAGAACAAATCTATTCGTTATCCATCTATTTCATGTTTATGTATATTTGCCTGAGTGAGTTTATATGCATCACACACACCAGGAGACAACATCATATCATCTGAAACTATGGTTAAAGTAGGTTGTGAGATGCCATGAGGGTGTTGGAATCAAATTCATTGTGGTTGTGGTACATCTACAAGACATCCAGGTTTCCACTATGGATGGAAAAGGGACTTGTGTAGTCCTGTCCCTAGCTGAAGAAGCATTTGTAATTGATGACTGCTGGAGAAGGAAACATTACTTTTCTTTAGGAATGTGGATCTGGGTAAGTTGTTTATGCTCTAGTGGGTGTCCTTATACCCATGCACACACCAACATCACTAACCGGACTCAGTGGTTAAAAAAAAGAGTAACTGAAATTAGGATGGAGATGTAGGGGTGGAGAGGAAAATCAGGTAGAAGTTGGGAGTGAGACTAGAGGGTAGGTTTGATCAAAACACATTGTATACATGCTACAAATTCTAAAGAATAAAAGTATGTTTTTAAAGAAAGAAGTGAGTGGTTTAAAGTCACTTTCATTTTTATGAACAAAACTTAGCAATTTATGTTTACCAATAGTTTGTGTGCTCCAGTTTCCTATACCTTCTGTGATATGGGATGTTGTTAAACTTTTCAGTGATTATGAGCCCAATATATAGAAAATCAAACTCATTTCTTGCTGCAATGTTTGCACTTGTCTTATATAAGAACTGTCTATCTTTGTGCAGGCCTTTGCATTCTCTTCCTTTAAGTAGTCTCCTCATTCTTTGCTTTCATGTGCATATCTGTTTGAGGGCTATTATTTCCCAACTAACTTATAGGGGCAATTTATACTTAAAAGGATTGAACCTCTTTGAATATCTTTTTTTTTTTAAGGAACACATTCCTTGAGTTCTCTATTTTTGGACTCTAGCATGAAAGTTCAAGATTTTTCTGTTTTGCCCTGTATAAAGTGCTGCTGACCCTAGAGTGTTCAATGGTGCTGCAACTGGTTTAGGGACCTCTCTTCTTTTCATCACTCTAGCTTCCCCTGCTCTCCAGCTTGTAAGAGATGGTGAAATAATTAAAAAGTGATTTTCATTTTTAGTATATACAATTAGTGCTATCAACTTGGATGTAGACATCAACTGATGATTGTCTAGACTCTTGGACCAAGGTATGGATCAATCTGTGGTATAATTTGTACCCAACACATTCTATAAATGGGACAAAACTAAAGCTTTAAGTGGAAACAACTCCATCATTGGGAATGGAGCTCAAAAGTAAGGTAAGCCAGGTTGTGCTTACTGTAACATAGCAAAGTTTCTTGGGAATGATGGACAGCATGTGGCTTGCTTTGGTAGGGGGGCTATACAAACAATAAATAATAAAACTCCACAGTGATACATGCTAAAATGAGTATGTATCGAAACTCAAATAAGTTTAACTCTATTGTGTATCTGTTTCCCAGTTTAGAAAATCCATCAGGGGTTAAGTGTGGGCCTGTTTCTAGCCCACCTTCCAGTGCCCTGCTCAGAGCCACCTGAGGCCTGGGGACTGCACATGGGGGAACCCATCCCAGTGGTCCAGCCTACCCAGAGACTGCCAAGGCCCGGTACTACTCCTGCCTACACCCATGGGAAGAGGAGAGCCATTGGAGTATTGAACCTGCTTGCACCCACCAGAAGGGAACCGTGGATCTGTAGCCACCAGGAGAGGAGGAGACTACTTCTGCACCCACTGGAGGAAATGATGGGAAGAAGACAATATAAAAACACATTCAACAACAGAAAAACAATATGACACCACCAGAGACTAGGGACTCTACACCATCAAGACCTGAACATCCCAATGCAGATGAAGCAGAAGAGAATGAGCTTAAAAATGACATCATGAAAATGATAGAGGCCCTCAAAAAGGATATGAGAAAATTCCATAAAGAAATGGAAGAAAAAACAAGCCAAAGATACAAGAAATCAACAAATCTCTTAAAGAAAGCAAAGAAAAATGATCAAACAGATGAAGGATATAGTTCAAGACCTGAAAACTGAAATAGAGACAATAAAGTAAACACAAACTAAGGGAATGCTGGGGATAGAAAAGCTGGGTAAACAAGCAGAAACTACAGATGCAAGCAAAACCAACAGAATGCAAGAGATGGAAGAGAGAATCTCAGGGGATGAAGATATACTAGGAGAAATAGATTCAATGACAAAAGAAAAATCTTAAGCGCAACAAATCCAACACAAAATACCCAAGAAATATGGTACAGCATGAAAAGATCAAACTTAAGAATAGTAGGTATAGAAGAAAGTAAAGAAACCCACCTCAAAGGTGTAGAAAACATATTCAACAAAATCATAGAAGAAAACTCTCCCAACCTAAAGATAGACATACCAATGAAAGAACAAGAAGCTTACAGAACACCAAATAGAGTGGACCACAAAAAAGTGCCCTTGCCACATAATGATCAAAACCCAAAACATACAGAATAAAGAAAGAATATGAGGAGGAGCTAAGGGAAAAGGCCAAGTAACATAAAAAGGCAAACAACTAGACATGACTTCTCCATGGAAACTCTGAAAGCCAGAAGGTCCTGGATAGATATTCTACCAACACAAAAAGACCATGAATACCAAACCAGACTCCTATACCCAGCAATGCTTTCAATCACTATAGATGAAGAAAACAAGATATTCCATGACAAAACCAGATTTAAACAATACATACACAATAATCCAGCCCTAGAGAAAGTTCTGGAAGGAAAACTCAAAACACCCAGAAAAACATAGGCAATAGATAATCCCAATTTACCAACAGCCAAAAGAAAAAAGGGGTGGAAATCCGAAGACAATTCCACCACCACCACTAAATCCAAAACAAACAAGAATGAGCAATCAATGGGCATTAATACCTCCCAATATTAATCTGTCTTAACTTGCCTATAAATGACAGAGGTTAACAGAATGGATACAAAGACACAATCTGTCCTGCTGCATACAAGAAACACACCTCAGCTTCAAAGGCAGATGGTACCTCAGAGTTAATGGCAGGGAAGAGATTTTCCAATCAAATGGATCCAAGAAATAAGTATGGGTAGCAATCCTAATATCTAACAAATTAGACTTTAAACTAAAATCAGTCAAAAGAGATGAAGGAGGTCATTTCATATTGATCACAGAAGAAATCCATCAAGATGAAGTCTCCATTTTGAACATATATGCCCCAAATACAACAGCATCCACATTCATAAAAGAAACATTACTAAAACTTAAATCACACATAAAACCTCACACACTTATAGTGGGAGACTTCAACACCCCCCTCTCACCACTAGACAGGACCACCAGACAGAAACTTAACAAGAAACAAAAAAATAACAGAAATTATGACCCAATTGGGATTAACAAACATCTATAGAATATTCCATCAAAACAGAAAAGAATACACCTTCTTCTCAGCGCCACATGGAACCTTCTCTAAAATCGATCACATACTAGACAACATAGCAAACCTCAACAGGTACAAAAAAAATGAAATGACCCTGTGTATCTTATCAGACCATGCTTTAAAGTTAGAATTCAACAACAACACAAATTGCATAAAACCTACAAACACATGGAAATTGAACAATGCTCAATTGCACCATTCCTGGGTCAAGGAAGAATTGAAAAGAGAAATTAAAGACTTCCTAGAATTGAATGAGAATGAAGACACAATATACCCAAACTCATGGGACACTTTTGAGGGCAGTGCTAAGAAGAAAGTTCATGGCACTAAACACCCACATGAAGAAACTGGAGAATAGTCACACCAGAGAATTAACAGAAAAACTGAAAGCTCTAGAGCAAAAAGTAGTAAACTCACCCCTCAGGAGTAGACACCAGGAAATAATCAAATTGAGGGCTGAAA